CATGGGTTGATTGTTCTGTCAGAAAATTTCCAGGTTGAATCTCTCCTTGGTCAGTTTCCATCCATTATTCCTTGTCCGGCTTTCAGGTACTTTGGAAAATAGCTTGACCCCTTCCTCTCTGTGGCAGCCCCTCAAATATTGGAGCACTGCTATCACATCTCCCCTGGTCCTTCTCTTCACTAGACTAGCCATGCCCAGTTACTGCAACCGTTCATCATTTGTTTTAGCCTCCAGTCCCCTAATCATCCTGGTTGCTCTTCTCTGCACTGAGTCTCAATGTCTTTTTTTTATAGTGGATAGTCTCAATGTCTTTTTTTTATAGTGGATAGTCTCAATGTCTTTTTTTTTTATAGACCAAAACTGGATGCAGTACTCTAGGTGTGTCCTTACTAAGGCTTTATAGAGTGGTATTAGTACCTCACTTGATGTTGATTGAGTCTTTTTTCTAGCTTTTCTCTAAAAGACCAACGACTTTTATCTATCTGAATTCTCTCGAATGCCGAGACAAGAGACGCTATTAAGTAGCCGGCCCTCCTGCTCCATCCAAGTCGCCCCCCCCGCCCCCCCCAGTTCGACAGCGTGGCGCGAAGCGACTCCGGAAGCAAGGAAGGGACTTCGTGTCCCGCGCTCTCACTGGGAAGGAGGGCGCTTGGGTGTCACGTATCGGGGGAGGCGGGCGAGCTTTAGGACGTGGCAGAAGCAACGTTCGCCGCGGACTCGCGCAGCAGGGGCGCCTCGGCCAATGAGCGTGGCCTGGAGGCCGAAGGGGGCGGGGCCGTAACGCGCGAGCGAGGAAAAGCGCGCGGGCCGTCTTTTCCCTCGCGCAGGCGCGCGTGGATGTTCGAAGAAGGCGTAGGAAGCGGGCCAGGGAGGTTGATGATGGCTGCGACGGCACGTTGGGAGGTGGTTCGGAAGCCTCGCAGGGGAGCGGCCGGTGGCGGCGGCGGCGGCGGCTCTATGGGAAGAAAGGCGCTTGGAGACGCCAACGGAGGACGCGGTCTGGCCTCGCCCAGTGAGTGAGGAGGACAGACAAACAGTTGAGCCTCCCTATGCAGGGGTAGCCTAGCGTGCAAGTGGAAGGAAGGCAGGCAGGCGGGTCAACTACCTTCGCCGGTTACATAGACCTCCGCTTTAGGGGATTGTTTTATTCTTCCCAAGGTGGCAGACAAGGGAAGGACTTGTCAGTTGGCAGAAAGGAGTCTGGCCACGTGCTGGAGCCCACGTTATACGTTTTTTCCGTGGCTCTTTATTTATTTATTTTTATTTCGTCAAGCATGAATTAGATAACAGATATAAGTATAAACATAATTATGAATACATGAAATGAATACGAATACAAGGGAACAGTAGGATAGGGACGGTAGGCAACCTGGTGCGCTTATGCACGCCCCTTACAACCCTCTTAGGAATGGAGTGAGGTCGACAGTAGAAAGTCTAAGGTTAAAGTTTGGGGGGTTTGGGGAAGAAACCTCAGTGTCAGGTAGGGCATTCCAGGCATTGACAACTCTGTTACTGAAGTCGTATTTTCTGCAATCAAGTTTCGAGCGCCTTACCATAAGTTTGTATATGTGGTGTGCTTGTGTGTTGTGGTTGAAACTGAAGTATTCATTGACAGGCAGGACATTGTAGCAGATAATTTTATGTGCTATGCTTAGGTTGGATTGAAGACTGCAAAGTTCTAAGGTGTTTAAGCCCAAAATTTCAAGTCTGGTGACATAAGGTATTCTGTTGCGAGCAGAGGAGTGAAGGACTCTTTGGGGTTTTAAGGCCAGCCCTGGAACAAATTCTCTGCCACCGAACAGACAGGAGGCTTGGAAAGGCAGGGAAGCCAGCAGAGCTAGAGACCCTTCCAGTTACCAAGTCAATCCCCTCTGTTTAAAATTGGCTACACTTTTTACAGATTTGTTCTTGCTATGTTGAGCCCAATGGTGAGGTATTTGGGGATCTGTAGGAGCACATGTAATATACAAGAAGAAACATTGCTCTGTAATAAAAGCACTTTTTCAAAAACTGGGTCTTTTAATGATGCAAATATATTTTATGCAATATTTTTTAGTCATGTTCAGAATGCATTTAACAAATTAGATAGTCCCTGGAGAAAAATATTTAGATTACATACAAAGTTAATTAACCTTAGGTACCACTTTTTGGCGGTTTATGACTAGTTCATTTTTTTAATGCATTGTGTGTAAATCTAGAAAGTGGATTAATTCTGTAACTGTTAAATGTGTTGTATCAACACAGGCCATTTCAGTAGTCAGGCTTCACATGTCTCTCTTTTATTCTCATAGGTCCTCTTGCCACTTCAGAAACTCTCTTTGAACTTGGCTTTGAGAAATCAACAAAGAAGCAGAATAAAGAACAGGTGCCTCCACCACCTGGACGCCAGCAGCAAAAAAAGCAAAACCCTGGAAAAAATGCTAAGAAAGGTACAGCTGGAGACAGTGGACAGAACAAGCAAATCAAAAACCGGACTCTGGAGGATGCATTGAAAACAGTCAGTGTCATTTTTCCCCAAAAAATTGTCTCCTTTGTATCTTTGTAACATATTGCAAATTAGAGGCTACCTCTGAAACAGAAGGCAATATATCGAAAGTTTATTCTTCATCTAGTAATGTTAGTATCTACAAGTCTTTAATTGCAACTATGTAGAAACAGCAGTAGTTGGCCCAAGAATTATTGAATGCAATTAGTTGTGCAGTTTAAGTTGAACTTAACATCACTCTTTTTCTGCAGAGGGAAAGTAAATTATTATCTGGAGTTACTCTATGGTTATCACTACTATATTCCAGCTCAGGGTAACAAGAATTTCAAAAGGACTTTGTAGTGATTTTTCTTTCTCAGGCAAATGTTATTTATTTAGGAAAACTTAAACATTGTGTGTATTTATCTTGTTGTTTTCAGAAGAATCCATCCTCAAACTAACTCACCCTTGTTTCTCCATGGAGTAGGTTACATACTTAAGAGCTGTATAGTCTGCATGCCCCACAGCTGTTTTAAAAGTTGACTGTTGTGTATAATTAGGACCAAAGAATATTATTACTAATCATATGAGAGGAAATCATAACTAATTTATTGTTATAATAATATATACATAAATTGTTCTTTGCCCAATTCTTTTTCTTTTAGATGCTTGTTATAATTCAGGGTTTTTAATAATATTGTAAATATTCATAGGGATATTTTTTTTAGCTTTGTTGTGCTTCACCCACAGTCAGTTGTTTGTGAGATGGGCTGCAGTATAAATATGACAAATAGAGTTAAGTTTAGTTTTTGTTCTTGGCCTGACTTTTTAAAATTATCACCTCCCAATACTCAAAGGTCACATATAGTTCTCATTCCACAAAGCAGTTCTAGTTGCTGCCAGTTTGCATTATAATTTTAACTCTCACCCCATCTGCAAATGAGACTGAGATGAGGTTGACAGTTCTCACCTTTCCAGTTCTTCACTGTACCTTTTTTTAAAATTCCAGTTGGATTTATCAGAACTCCAGAGAGAGCTTGATAAAAGCTTGAACTTGTTCCCAGAGAACCCTTCGGTGTGGGTCAAAGATCTAGCTGGATATTTGAACTACAAGTTGCAGGCCGTGAAGAGTGAGCCCACCCTCAGTCAGCACCCTCATGGTTGGTAGCAGCAAGGGAATAATGTTTCTGTCATTCAAGAATGGGAATACTGTTATTAGAATAAACATGCATGTACTAGAGGTAGCCATTTAAATTATTCTACTCGAGGTTGCCCTTTTTGGGAAACAGCAGCTATTCCTTTATTCAGTCAGATCACTTTAAGCCATATAGAATTGTCTTTCATCAGCTTTGTTTGGCTCTCCAGCTCTTAAAAGGACAGCCTGGCCATAATTGTTCATGCCTTAGTATACTTGCAATTGAATTATTTTGCCTAGAGGTATACAGAGGAAAGTGGAACACAGAGGTTTTCCAATTGCGGAGGAAAGGAGAGTTGGGTGGGGGAATGCCACTTGGTTCACTCTGCCTAGATATGTGCTGTTTATCATGAGCTGCTGGGGCTGTGCTATCTGAGATCGAAACCCTGGGATATGTTAGTGGTCTTTGCACTTACAGCAACAGTTCATGCAATGGCCTCAACCTGCCTTTGAGCACCGTGCAAGGTGACTTGGCCAGGATCAAGGCATTCTTGTCTGGTTTTACCTTCTTTAAAGAGCAGCTGTTCCTGGGGCTGTTTCATGTGGTTCCGATGATAAATCTGCATGCCCACTATGGGCAGCCTGAATGGCAGTCTTACCTCCCCCCCACCCCCACCCCCCAAAAAAGACCCAGGAGGCACTACCCTTCAAAGAGAAAAAAGTGAGATTAAATGGAAGCACTTTCAGAGTGCACACTGGCAGTTTTAATTTGGAAGATGCCCCACAGATATATTATTTTAGGGAGTAAGGGCATCTGCTGTAATTGAAGTTAAAATATTGCATAATGTTCATTTTGGCCACTTTCCTCGTGGTACGATCCTGTTGAAGTACCAACTATACTCACAGGTTCTATTGTAATCATCTGTATTATAACATTCTAGCATGCTCAGGGATGTGCTGCTCTTTTTCAGAAATGGCCTCCTAATCATATCCCACCTCGGATGCTTGTTTAAGCAAATGTGTGGAAATGTTGTGGTAACAGTGCTCTGACCAAATGGATGCTGAGTAAAAGCTTGATCTTGCTATTATTTATATCTTTGACCGCAGACTATCCCTACTGTCTGGTAAATAAAGAACTAAAGAGCATTATCAAGTCCCTGCTGTTGAAAGCTGGAGGTGTCCTGGAGCTTTTCTTTGACCATTGTATTTACACAATGTTGCAAGAGTTGGACAAATCTCCTGGTAAGATAATAGTAAAGTATGGATCAGCAAATATATCTTGGAATCAAAGTTTCTGTCCTGTAGGCAGAGGACACTAAGCAAGATTAAGAACAAGGTGATGGTTACTTTTACATATAAGTAATGGCAGGCAGGTGATTTCTTCAAGAACTTTGCATTTTGAAAATTTGTTGTAAAAGAAATGGAAGCATAAAGTTAACTTCCTAACAATGTAATAGAGGAGGAAAGGGCACAGTGAACCTTTAATTTAAAGGATACTCATTTAGTGAATTTCTGTCTGAGAAGCATATGTTGCCAAATGATGAGCATATGTTGCATTTGAAGAATTCCAGGCAAGATGATTAAACCTTGATTTTATAAAATCTGCAGCCATTTACATCATTTCTATATGACATCATTTTGCAACTGATATAATTTGTTTCAGTTTACATCACTGATTAATGGCATGGTAACACAGTAAATGCATATTTTTGTCATTTGGTTAATGATATTGTGGAAATGATGTAAGTTTGTCTGCTAAAATCATTGGGCAAATGACATCATTTGCATCCTTTTGCCTAATGATGCCATTACAAAAATAATGCAAATTTCCATCATGAAATGTATGGCAGTCCTTCAGATTCGAAGAAGACATGTGGTTCATCTGTGGACATGGGGGTGGCTCTGCAGTCCCAATCTGGAAGTTCTAACTCTAGCCCAATAGCAGCACTGGAAGTCCATTTTTCCAGTAACTGTGGGTGTTATTCTGTAATGCTGATCAGCGTTTTCTCTGACTTTTTAGCAACACCTGTCTTCAAAGCTAGTGAAGCACATGGCTTGCTGGCAGGTTCTGTCAGCAGTATCTAATTCCCTTGGCTGGATGTCACAGTTCCATAGAGTGTCTTTCACAGCGCCTCACAGTGCTTCTGTGGTCAACTTCAAGGTTGGGGGGAACTCAACAAATTTGCAGATAGACATTTAGACATTTATTAAGATTTATAGGCCGCCCTTCTCCCTGAGGGGACTCAGGGCGGCTTACAATCACAGGGAAGGGGGTGCAATAATAGACAAACAGTGAGTAAACAAAATAAATAATAAAACACAACTTGCATTCAACAGTCAACACTCGGGCGGGTAATTTAAG